TCTCTCTCTCTCTCTCTCTCTCTCTCTCTCTCTCTCTCTCTCTCTCTCTCTCTCTCTCTCTCTCTCTCTCTCTCTCTCTCTCTCTCTACCCCCCCCGCACGTGGCTGTTGTTCTGCATCGCTGCACTGCGCCTCCCACTACCCGCTCCCCTCTCCACCTGACCCGGCCACGCCTGCGGGAAACACCCCTTTGTCCTGTTCACCATGCCCGACCCAAAAACAGCGTTGTATCTTCTCATGTCCCAATGGGAGAGTCATTCTTTTGCACATTTGGTATCCGACACCCGCACCCACAAGGCCACCCCTTTTTTTTTTTGGGAAAACAGTCACCACATTGTATTGCACAAAAGCACAGGGGCCCGGGAGTCACCCCACAAATCAACCCGGTACACAAACACGCTCGGGCCCTTGCACAAAAGCACAGCGGTGTATCTTATCATGTTCCAACGGGAGATTCCTCACATTTTGCACATTCGGCGAATGTTGGAGCCAAGGGCAGAAAAACAAAACTGCTATGTGTTCTAGCGGGAGAATAATAGTGTGAGCATGCCCTAACCCCTGCACTCATGAGGGTCCCCCCCAAAAAAAACGAAAGTGGTGTCTCCCCATGTTCGGACTGGAGGTTCATTCCTATTTTGCACATCTGATGAGTGCTGTCGCCAAGGTCCCACATGACATTTGGTGAGAGCTTGAGCCAAAGTCCAAACGTACGCTGCTGCCCGCAAGTAGAGAATCACAGTGTGAGCATGCCCTAACCCCGACACTGAGGAGGCTAACCTCCCCCCCCAAAAAAACAAAGGTGGTGTACGGAACCAAGACCCAACGGATTAATCAAAGACGGTGAAAAAAAAAACAGCGGTGCATCTTCCCAGTTTCTAGTGAGAGATCCATACTCGTTTTGCACGTCATGTGAGTGCTGGCGCCCGGCACTATACACGAGCTGACAACAAAGTGGTTTCATATCCCAAAAAAAAAAAAAAAAAAAAAGTGGTTTCCCCCCGAAAAAATTTAAGTGGTTCACCCGCACTGCTGTGTACTTGTGTTTGAACCTGTCTCTTATACACATCTAGATT